GAGGCTGTAGCCATTAGGCGTCATAAATCCCTGCGAACAACTAGGCTTCACGTCTATCCTTGCTTTGTCATGGGAGGGCTGCCATCATGGATCTGATAAATAAGCCTGTTCTCTNCTGTTCTCTCACCCCTTCCCTCTGTTCCACTCAAATATGACTGATAACTTTTAACCTTCGTACTGATTTTGCTAGTCCAGTGTTTTTTGTGTTCAAAGACCTGGCATTATTCCGATCAACATTCCACAAGAATGTTTGCACACAGCTAACGAGCTGACGCGACACGGTAAAGATCAACCTGCTCTGTGATAATGCTCATTCTCGCTTTCATCATGTTCTTATAGGTAACTGGATTTTTGAGAAAATAAAATGTTGGGAGTTACTCACAAACACGGTGGAAAGGTGGATAAAGAGATATAACAACCAAATAACAAGTAAACTAATAGTAACTTCTACTGACAGCTATTTGATAAGTTCACGAAAACTGGAGTAGCGTAAACCACTCCTAAACTGGACACTTATATTATGGAAGTTCATCAAACAATAGATGAGTTTAAGGTCATTAATCAGAGTAGTGCGTGTGTGTGTGTGTGTGTGAGTTATTCAACGAAACTTTGTTAGCTTGTTTCTAGATCGATTCCGAATAGTTATAACTTCGCAAAATGGAAAGTGTGAGAATTGTGCTTCTAAACTCGTTATTAATCCGATCCTGAATAGACTATCAGAAGTGTTACTCTGAAACGTGGAGGAGGAGAAAAAAACTAATGATAGTGAAATTCAACACCAACAACATGTGTGGACTGAACGCGTAAAGAATCATCACAGTCAAGCATGGGTAAAACGTAACCAGTTGAGAATATGGGAATAATTATCGAGCTGGCGTTTAGGTTTCAGGGTAGTCAACACAACCACAGTAAAATTAGAACAGCGGGCAACCATCTCCTCAGTCCCTTGGAAAAAACTAGTAAACCCCTGGGATCCACTAGGTGTATTAACCCACTGTAAATTGCCTCAATGAACACAGGGATATCATCGTGCTTAGTGAAGGTGTAAATTCCAATTTCTTTGTGTTTTTCTGAACAAAGTAGGAATAGCATGAAAGACTAGAAAAGATCTGTAGTCCAGGGTAGAATAAGAGCATCGATGAGGGACTCAACGGACGTCCCGTACACAAAACTAGTTTCATGCAACGGAACTGTATACTATTGGTAGAAACCCTGAACTGTCGAGAATAAGCGATGGCATTCAAATAAACCGGGATCAATCTCCAGACTCAATATTGATTTTAAATCGAATCCATTGATAAATAACTTTACTAACAAAGCTGAATAAAAAGTATAGGAAACACCCTAGTTCCTTAGGCATATCTCTCAGATCCGATTGGCGTATGAAGTTCGAAAAAACATTCGATGTTACGTAATTGTTTTGTTTCGACTCATTAGGTAAGAGTGCTGTAGACACTTGATCAAAATAGTTATAGAAAAAATAGACAAAGAAACAGCCTCAAGATTCATTCTGATGAATGAAGCAAAAATTGGAAAGAAACATAATATGGCATAAATAATGCATTATTCCTTTCGGTTTGTAATTTCTTTTGTTGACGGAAGAAGTGGGGGGAGTATTAGAATTCGTTTGTTCGTTTTACATCAATGAAACGCAGTGCGGAAGTTGGGTGAGGCCGATTAATTCAAGATGGTTGACAGAATTTCGCAAGTAGGATGCTGATGACGCTGAATCACCAGTTGTGATGTAATCGACCCTAATAACGCGTTCCTCGATGAGCATCAAACTACGGTAATCGGATCCAGAAACGGCAGCCATGTTAACCACTCGTAAAGACCAACCTGGACAGCATTTAGTAAGGCGGTGTGTGGTGGCACACTAGAGGTTCGGTAAAGCGGCATACTACCGAAAACGTCCGTTTGTTTTGGAGTGAAAAATAGATGTGTATTCGTTTCGAGTAATTTGTTGCGAACAATTGGATGAGCGTTTCAGCACTAGATGTAGATTATACTTCACCTAAATACCACGCATCGCCACAGTCACCTAAATAGTTCACATGGTGGGCCAGTTACGCCTAATATGTACCAATCTTTTTAGTTCAACTTATGAATGAAACAAAGCTCGTGATTTTATGCACAAATTTATGAGAAAATGATTCACGCCGATGAAAGATGGATTCTGAGATTCGAAACATCGGTCGCTGATCGGGGTTCGTCTGGGATTACCGAAGGTGTAAATGAAATCAAATGGAGAAATGTACATTTAATAGCAGTTAGTCCTTGCATGGGTTATGGGGAAAAACGCCCATGCTCACTCGCACCAAATTCAGCTGTATTGCTCACACATGTCTCTAGTAAGGATATTTCTAGAGTTTCACAAACACAACACATAATTTAAACTGAGCGTTACGAAGCCTCTTTTATCCTCTGGTTCATTTCATCTTGTGCAGAGCAAACAAATCGCGAAATGAAAAACCGGAACTCATTGTACAACTGTTCCAGTTTTTCATTCCACCTTTTGTAGATGGGGCGTTGGTGGCCCGGTGTTAACATTATCACTTATCACCCTGGAGGACTTGTGTTCGAACCCCACCACCGTCTGACTTTCATCATTGTGTGTTGTATGGCAGCCCTTTAGTTGGCCGCTTCTTTCTTCCTTAAAATCATATCTTTACGTGTTTATTAAAAGGATATAAAAATGAAAAACATTGACGGACGGAGAATATAATGAAGTGGCTGCCCGAAACCACACACTTTGAATATGCTACTTTACAGTTTAGCAAATTGCGATTTTTCCCCATTATTCACGATTTTCTCAATTGCGAAATTTTACCACCGTCGTGTAGACTTGAGATCACTCATGGGACATTATAGTTACTTTTTTTTCTTCAATACTTGTCTAAGTTGCTACTTTACATCCTCACTAATCGAACAGCACAGTGGATGTAGCTAGTGTTGTTGTTCTTGTGCTGTTGGTGTTGGTGGTCGTCATCATATTAGTCGAGGTTTTGTGTTTTGCTCTTGTTCCGATTCTCCCCACACGAATTCGGGACTTCACCGCGACAGCGACATGTGAGGCTACGGTTTTCTCGCACTTAAAACAGGTGCCATAAAACAGTGAATTTATGGCAGCCGCATGCGGTTAATGACGGTCGCCCAATTGAACAGCTTACCTCGGAGGCAATGTTAGTGCCGTGAATGTGCATTGTAGAACTGGTTGAAGTGTTTTCCTATTACTGCGTCATTCCGATGATGATGCCCCACAATGATGTGGGTTGTTGATGGGGATTGTGCTGACTCGAATGATGACCACACTGGGGCCAGACAGTAACACTGATCTTTGTAGTTTGGGTGTAACGGGTTGGGGTGGCGGGTAGCGGGTGGCGTTCAAACATGCAGTTGTGGTTGCTAGTCCAGGTCCACATGAGCACTTCAGTAAATCGGGATGCCCACTAACCACACATACAAGCGCCTACAAAAATGACTGTCTGGCGTTAAAATCTCAATTACCGCGGTTGAATTATAACCAAAACTCGTCAGTCGAGTGATTCATGCATACGCTCGAACCAACGCTCGATCACGCACAAAAGTCAATTCATTCAAGTTGTTATTTGCATTTTATTCGATTGTCACAATGAAATGAGAAAGAGAATAAGGGTGAAAAAAGCAGTACTGATTTGTACATTGCGTACGTTGACCCGTGTGCAGTAATAATGCGGCTGAATGTCTCATTGTGCAGGTACTGTTAGTCAGTAGTTTTAGTGACCTCGTTGATGAGNACATCTACTTTCATATGATTTGTCATCCCAACAGGATTGCAATACGTGCACAATCTGTATTAGATACGGTAATATTTAGGTGCGCTCTATCCGTATACACCCAAGTACACAAGAGATTTTCCAAATCGTGTCTCATCGGCGTCTGGTTTGGTTGAGTGATGAGGGAAAGAGGAGGCGTCTGAAGGGGAACCCCGTAAAAATGTTTTCTCAAGTATCACCGAACGCTTCTGGTGTGTAGACTAAACATAATCCACGACTGCGGCTTTTTGTAGTGTGCAAAACCTGACTAAGGGCCGGCTGTGCTTTGAAGTGAGGGATGTGTGCGTGTACGTGCCTGTTTGTCTATCTATTTACTCCTAGGTGTACTACAGTATCAATGTTTTCCTGTCTGTCTAAGCACTTGTGTGTCTGTTTACCCATTGGTTTGCTTGTATGTATGTAAGTGTGCGGTTGTCTGCCATTACGTTCCAAGCGCACCATTTCATAAGATTCGGTGGGACACCGCCATGTGTGTCCATTTACAAGTACATGCGTTACGTTCAGTAAGCACGAATAGTTGATGTGTGTATGCGTGCGTGTTTGTCACATCAGCACCATTCACCACCGAGCGGAACCTCCTGGCTTCACACCTGTATTTGCAGGTGCCTTTCCAGAATGAAACCAACAGTGCTGTTGGTGTCCGTTTGTGGTCTGCAACTGTTGTTGCTGATGATGATTAAGGTAGTGGCCAAGGGACGGATCGGAAACCGCAACTTCTCTGTTCACCCTGACTTGGGACAAGGACAGGGGTCAGGTTCATCGGGAGTTGATGTGCGCGAAGGGGGTTGGTTTGTGGTGATAGTGGTGATGGTAGTGGTGGTAGACTTACAGTTGTGCTGTTATGAGGGCTGAGGGTGTGAATTTTGAGGGTAACCAATCGCTTCGCAGTTACCCATCTCACCTGGAAAAAATCCGACAGTGGAGCAAACTTGTGTATGCATCTCTGGTAAAGGACGCGCTGGCATAACACCTGAGTTGTTCACACTTAGGTGTACTCGGTTATAAGGTGTGCTTCTGGATTTTGGTTTCGAGGACAAAGGCTACATAAACCGATTACATTAGGGAACAAAGCTCTCGTTCCTGCCGGGCTCGAAATTCTCGTCTATTCTCTTCACACCCTAGGTGGAGGCAATTTTTAACAGGGAATTACATTTCTTTCGACCAGAAAGAATCGGGTATCGAGACATGACTGTTCTCCTACGAACAGCAGTTCTGGTTTGGCTGAACACATGTGTTGTGTTTTTCATCGTCAGCGCTGATGATCCCCCGGAACCACCCAGCACGGCGCACATACAAAGTAAGTTTGGTCCAGATATCTGTTGTAATAATTCACGTATCTATCGCTTGTAATTTTGTATACTACAAAGCATCTGGGACCAAGAGCTGAAACCATTCCCAAAAAAAGATGCATGGAATTAGCCCTAAAACATTTCCTGTATAACAACAAACGAACTTGAATTTTTTACTATCATGCAGCAGAAGGCACTGAAACTTTTCATAACGTGTGATATTTTAATGCTTGAAATTTGCGCTGGTATCCACTTCATTGTTTACATTTTTCAACAAGCCACATAACATAATCAAAAATAGAAAAAAACTGGAGAGGAGCAATAGACTATCGAAATCCCATGTGATTTATTCTAAATTTGAGATCAACTTGCCATATACCGCGTATGCTTTATACTGTCTTGTTAATCAGTAGCTGGAGGAATAACTGTAAGGTTCATCTCCGTCACGTGACTGACAGACAAGGAGAGGAACTCACCTCGTACGGATGGTTGAGGCAGTTCCATCCACGCAATCCGTTGTTGCTTCATCTTTGTTTAGCGATTTTTGGCTGTTGTTTGTCATTTTAAACGTGTATAAGAATCGCTCTCGGTATCTTAAAAAAATTTCGGGGTAGGGTGGAGTGTAGGATCGGGATTTATTTAAGCACCTCCTCCATAAAATCGGATGTTTTCACAAATGCTGATTACTGACGTAACTTGATATGCAATTTACTTACTCTCTCAGAGTCATTGATGCAATATACAGTCTGAGTGCAGTTTAGTTCAATGTTTATAATCCGTAACCATGATCATTTGTGCAGTATTGTTTACTGTCTATTGGCCACCTTTACTAAATGTAGATAATTAGAATAAGTCAATCATTTAGTCATACTGAATGAATTTTATATTACCAAGGTGGTTTTCAAAAGGGTTTTCGTAAATGTTACGGCAGTTTGAAAGGCAGAGGTTGTATTGGTGACATGAATATCAAAATTTTGACTGATTGATCAAAATTACATCATACTCGGGTAGGCATTGTGTGATCGATACGGTTCGATGGACACATAAGGTTGTTTGCCTCTCTACTGACGAAGTCTTATCTGAGAAGATCGAAATGGTGTGTTTCAAACTTTTGGCTTCAATTTAGAACAACAGATGGAAAACTGCTGCCAGCTCCGGTTTATGTCATATCACAAAATACTATCCCGAGGGAAACAAAGTAACTCTTTGCATAATCCACTGTTGGGCTCCCCATATCTAGGGAAATGATAAAACTTCGGCATTTCTGTGAGGAACCTGAGTGAGTTACATCAGGCCCTGTAGACAGTGCGACCAAATCGAATGATCGATGACTTTTAACTCCCCAGGTGGATGATGAATGAAGCGGTATACGTCGTTTTCAGTGTATATAAATTCATTAACCACATAAACACAGGAAGAGAAATTGCATCGGGTGATCGAATTTTGAAAATTTAAGTTTAGATATTATATTATATTATATTACTATCATTTTACGTTTGGCTCTCATATCACCGTGCAAGCTAAGGAAAGATTTCACTCACTCTGAAGTTCCAAATCAAATTCAAATCTTGTGTAATATATGTGAAAGGTGACCGGTAAAATAACAGTGTCGGAATCAATTTGGGATTCTGAATCCGAAACGGTAGATGAATTGATTACCCGCGATCTGTCAGCAATTTCCCATCACCATTCGCGCTACACACGAGATTTACAGTCAAATGGAGTAACTCTATCTACATAAAAACGACACCGGTTTTCCTCGTGGATCGCGGATCATGAACACTTGATTGGTGTCATTCACAAGCATACTTGTAGTTCCATCAAAAATGGTCCGAATAGGACTTTGAAAGGTTTCTAAATTTATTGCTTCTTCTAGAACGGTTTATCTCCAACTTTATTCACGAATTCATCGATTCACAAGGTTTTCCCTGGATGGCGATGGTTCACAGACTATAAAATCCAATGTTTTATCCAGTGGCAACAATAAAATTTTCGGCCCATTCACCTCAACGGCTGACAACGTCAGGAGCGTCCGTATTCCGGACATTTGGCCTTGAAATACAAGTTTATGACATTCATTTTTGTACTTGTAATCGGTTCAATCAGGTAGTCAGTCATCTATGAAGAGGACAAGATATTACTGACTCATAATTCTCAGTCTGCGTCCGCTTTGTGATTTCTTCACGTGATAGCTTTCGCTCTCTCTCTCTCTCTCTCTCGCTGTCCTACCCCTTTGTCCACCACACAATTTGACAAACACTCCCATCTCAATCAAGCACCATTACCGTCGGTCTGCGAAAGTGATGATCCACTCGGGATGATTTCGGGCAGTATAGCAGACTGGCAAATCACTGCCTCGTCCACATATCCATCCACGTGGGCAAAGGGATGTTCCGAAGCGAATGCACGACTGTTTCGCGAAAACGGAATGGCATGGTGCGCTAAATTCAAATCGTCCTCCGAGTGGTTACAAATTGACTTGGGGGTTCGTGCTCTGGTGAGTTTGTGGCATTGACGATACTGTCAGTGGGGTTTTGTTGTTCATTGTTCAATGACTGTACAAGCCCCATAAGCTGAGTTCATGATTATTAGTACTACTACCGACACTACTGATTCTATGTTGCTGGTGTGGAAAAGATTACCAAATCGAAAGGAATCACAACAGACTTATGGTCACTATTCCAATGGACAAATGTCGCGCATGTTTAAAACGACGCGCTTCTTGATGCTATTTCCCCGCCACAGCTGAGTGCAAACTGAACAACTTTCAGTTAATCGAAATATACAGTCCAAACCTAATCAAGTGGTACAGGACGTATTCGGTCAAAACTTGTGAGAGAAATTTAGTCACTGCGCAAGAGAAACAAATAGCTTACTTTCACATTTTGACATTAGTAGTACCGTGAACTTACGCTTTTTATGCGATCATCTTAGGTCACCGGAATTATGACTCAAGGCCGTGGAGACGGATCCGAATGGGTAACGTCGTTCATGGTGTCCTACAGTGATGATGCGATCCACTGGAAATTCATCACAGACCAGTACGCGAATCAGAAGGTATGCGCAATCTTGATTAGTTATTTTTATCACAGATTCAATTAAAAGGACTCAATTTTCGCATGAATTTCACAAATATATAAATTTACACGAAAGATTTATCACTAACGAGACTAACCGAAATAACATTTTAGTTCACTTCTAACACCATATACATCAACAATTTTGAAAATATATTTTTTTAGTTTTAAAAACTTAGACCTTGATTTAGAAAACCACCCCAGTTTACAAAAACCATGCTGGTTGATTATCTCTTTCTGGAGCTTCCTTGTGAAAAGTCGATCTATTTTGAGGATTTTTAAAGCATTCTGCATTATCCATGTAAGTCCAAGTTAACCTGACCAATAGCCTGATGGCTTAACCGATACATTGGATGTTTTCGCATCCACAGTTCTAACCCAAAAAGTCTAATGTTTATGGGGATTTCCGTCAAGCGAAACGAAATATTTGAGGGTTCTACGTTTGCCTATTTAACGCTGTATAAAAGCAATTTATCAAAGGGTGAGGTTGTGAACCAAAAAGCTCTTAAATTCACACAACACACTTATTCCGAGCAATAAATTATGAGATGTCTGCTATTTTCAACAGATTTTTGAAGGAAATACGGATTCGTTTACCGTCAAACATAACTACTTGGATGAACCAATCAAGGCACGTTTTGTGAAAATCCATACTTACACATGGCACAATCATCCAAGTCTCCGGGTGGAACTGGTTGGATGTCAACGTGAGTAGAATCTTTTTGCTGTAGAAATACCCCAACGGCTGCCAGTATTGCTATGAAGTTTAGTACATTTTGTACGATATACTTTGTATTTGTATACCGCGGTAAAAAAATTTCAAAAAGCTGTGGAATAATACACACAAGCCAAACAGTTTGAAACGCAGTCAAGAAATTAATGAAACGCAACAAGAGCAGCATTTTTAAAATAACAAAGTGTATCTATTTACCGAATGAAATTACACTGATCTCACCAACTTGGGCTCACCCCCTTATCAGTCATAAATAAAATGCGTTTGCAAACGATTTCAGTAAAGCATTGTACGTATGTATTGTTTGTGCTTCTCTTTTTGTGTATTGAAAAAACATCACGAATAAGGTAGTGAGTGGTAACAACCAATCACTCAAGGTCTGAATCCAACTCGCTTCCTCCCTCTCTGTCTCTCTGTCTCTGTCTCTGCACTGAGAGCTACTGATCAGAATGTCAGTCNTTATTTTGACCTCGATTCGAATACCAAGACTTTATGCTACTTAATTGTTCCGATGACCGTTACCTACAGAAATGGGAAATTAATTATCTCCCATATCAATATACTGTAAACTACTTTTCTTAACTAGGCACTACGTGCAGCGTTTTCGTGAATGCGTGTGCAAATAGTATGCGAAAGTCAACCGTTTCCCTGTTTATAAACTTTAGGTACTGTTTGTTTGAAATGACCATAAAACAGAACAGTGTTCCCATCCCAGGCACAGACCGGATGGTGGTGATCAAATAAAAATCCACCCATCAAGCGACCACGTAGTGGTTGCCCACTATTAAGTAGATCATGCACTTTGTGGAAAGACTTGCTATGAGTTTTAAAGCCTGTCTGTTTAGACGGCAATAATGAGGATAACGCACTGGTTAACAGTGTTGAAATGTACCATCAGACTGTATGTATTGCACCTCACCCTTTTAGATCGCTTCCTAGGTTCACGTTAATATATACAACGTGAAGAAGGTGGAGCAAACATTTCATGTCTGTTGGCTCAGTGTACTTTCCGATCATGAAATGCGTGTTTATGGACCTATAAGATATGGTAACATGGATTTGAAGTGCAATGAACGTTTGACGATTATTTGGTGAAAAAACACTGGACGGAATAAATCTTAATTCCAAGAAGCAAGAAATTTTGCCCTCATTATTTATTAACCATTTGAAACACTTACTTTGCGTCTTATGATTCCATGTCAATGATGATGGTTAAAGAGGGTCCTAACTATTTATTGCGCGAATTTTATCTACTATTAAAAAATAATTTTCAAAAATTAATCACTATCATACGGGGCTTTTCCCCCTACTCTCAGGTCACTTCACCTTTCTGCGATCTTTCATTGTTCACTCCCTGTTCCATGGAAGATGATCTGTTTTGAGAAACGATCCGCTCTCTATGTAGAATTTCTAATTGTGGGCATAAGAGATTCGTTCACTCAATTCACTCAATAGCTGAATTAATTCATTTGTATCCAATATTTGCAAAAAAACTCAAGGCTGACTGCTCATGGTTGACATGCACAAACCAACCTAGAAGTGACGAGAAATCCTGGTTTTCTTTAAAGATCAATCCCAAATAAACGGCATAAAACGACACATAATAATTTCTGACGGATTTCCACAATTTCAAGGGGGAAATTGGTTGACGGCTTCCCGGAAAAGGATCCGATTAGATCCGGAGTAGTAGAGGTAAAATTTGTCACAGAAAATCGATTGAGATATATGTGTATCACTGAGTTGGCCCATGATAAATCTTAAAACCAGGCAACCCTGAACCTGGTTGGCATTTTCTCGGGACACCAAATATCCGACGCCAAAGCGGGTAGGAATTCTACGGCTATCAGAGTAGGGCATTAGTAGTCCAACATTACTTATTCGAACAAAATGAACATGCAGCTGCAGTCGGCACCACGATATCAGAAAGACCGTACTTTAGAAAGCCCGAAACGAACATTGTTGTTGATTTTGTTACGTCAAATGGGTGCTCAACAAACACCACACCACACACTTGCCATATTTTGCTAACTTACTCTTCAAGCGAAAACATAAAAAGCAATGCGTTCCGAAGGTAATGTAGTTCTTGTACTCTTACTGGACTTTGTTCTAGATACTGGTTTAATAATCTCTCGACTGCTAGAACATCGAGGCATAGAATGGGGCGAGTCTAAGCTATACACTGAATCACTGACTTACCCATACAATCACAGTAAGAAAACGTCTTCCTGTAAACAAAACATGAGTTATGCAAAGAACCATCACTTGATGATCTCCGGCGTTTCATTGCCAAGTGAGCAGTCCCATCGGTGTTTCATTTTAAACCAAACACTCCATTGAATCTTACGTATTTAAACAAGAGAATTGCATTTAATGCAGGTGGTAGTAAACCGATTTTAAATATCTCAGTTACCAAGGTAAACCAGTGAGTTGCTCCATGTAAACTATGGGATTTGCCTGCTTCTGGATCAATGTTCGCATAGATTCCAAACCGTAAAGGAATCGAAACAAAAGCAACTACGATACTGAAATCCGTTCGTTGTTGCTGAGATATTCGTTTCGCTAAGCATCAGAAAATAGTCCGCAAGCTTTGTCAACCTCAGTGACTACTGATTCAAGTGAAATGGCACTGCAATCAATGCACAGCTAGCGTCCGCTTTTCGGCTTTGTTTGATGTGGATGCACAGGACCAATATACACACTAGCCCTCATACACACATGAAAATGCATTTCTGATGACGTTTGAAAGGTAGTTGCTTTCTCGCATACTGGACTGATTCCGGCCATCTTGCCCAGAGGTCTATTAAAAAAACTGAATGTAAGGGGGCATCAATCATAAAGATTCATTTTCAAAAGTCTTTTCTTCACCTTCCATCAGTGAAGTTGCTTACTATTGTAGTGCGTCCCAAATGATTACTTTTGCAGTGTTTGATTTCCACAGTCCATTTTGTTCAATTATTTGCCATAATGCGGTTATTTCATATTACTTTTCTGTTTCTGCCTAACGCGACTACTTTTACCCATTGCGTAATAGTAGAATTTACTTTCAGACCTTACTCATGGACTTTATAAGATAATTGTGGTCTCGCAGATGAAAACACGAAAAACTTTGGAAGCGTGATTCCCATTAGATGGCCTTGTTCAAATCTGAAAAATACCACCGAAGTTTCATATATTTATGTTAGGGGTCATTAACTGAAAAGAGGGAGGTCTCTGGTTGACCATATAAATTTCTGGATAATTCCGATGGGCATGGAAGAGTGTAGATCAATGAAATATCTTCATGCGGCATTTCTTCGCACTTGCTGGAGAGACGAGTAGCTATATTAGGCGAAAGAAAACCCTATACATGATTGTATAAACAGCCAATGAAGGCACCTGAGTGATTCCCAACCTGCGCAGTCAATTATCGGATGCACTATAGTCTGATATTCATTGATAAATATTTGTGGTTTACACCCTTCGAATGCTGGAAGAACAACAAAATAATATGTTGAATTCCGATGATATAAAGTGAATTTCGTCGTATACAGAGCAACTGATACGTGAATTCGAAAACTGGGAACCACTGCACAGCTGTTGCGACTTACCCAAGTCTCAGAACCTTATGTCAATTCACCGACCAAACTGCCGATCGAACGCGGGACCTCAGAGTTAAAATACAAGGCACTACCTACTCGGCCAACTGGGTAACTGATCAGGCATTTTTAACCTTTTAAATACTTGTTGTAAGACTGACTGTAGGACTTTGTGGAAGGGAATAATCCATTCAGTTTGTTTGATTGGTAATGTTGCACTCTTTCTTATGGGATGTCCTCATTCAGATCGACGACGATCAGAGCAGGTTCGTCTGACAAAAGACTTCAAATTTCTATGTTGAACAAATTTCAAGAAGTTTCTTAGATATTTCTATTGAAAACTTTATACACTTTTCGATTTAGCAAGATCAAGTAACCATAAAAACTGTAATAATTCATCTTCACTTCTACGTTTATTCTCACGGTATTATCTAAACCACTCAAGTTGACTGCAATATTTCCACCTGAGCATTCCTTCCGACGTCCGTTGTTTTACCAATCCAAGGAAAATGACATTTTAGGCCGTTCACGTTATGTCTCATTCTTCAGACTAAATGTTTTTTTACTCCCCTTATAATACGTCAGACTGGAAGAAACATCGAAGTGTTTGTAATGAATAGCATAAAAAATAACAATACAAAAAGACTATCCAATTTATGCCAACTTTCCTTGAACTACAGAAAAGTAAATTATCATCACTCTCATGCATTACCACGAGCAGTTAACTAGATCACATTTGGTGTCTTTAAAATCGCTTGAAAGCAAAACCGTGTGTACAGTGATTGTTGTTGCTTACTAAATTGAGAACGACTGAGAATTCTCGTTTTGTATGCTTTTGTTACCAGAGAAAAATCTGTTGCTCTCTCCCTGCATTTAGCTTGTAAACAACTGTTGGGAATTCCACCGTACGCGCGATTTGCCGCATCCAGCTCACGGGGCAAGCGCGCCCAACGTTCTTGCATGCCGGAATACGGGCACTATTTGAGCAACAAAGGCTGGTGTCCAAAACGTCAAGATAGTGAGTTTCCATTGATACAGAAGAATTAAATTTCCAGAGACACAGTTGGACACTTTGAAGTTTCATTTGCAATTTAGTATATGTATAGAATACAATCAAATTTTTAGTTACCCTAGATACAAAAGCTTTGGGTATGAAACGAAGTATACGGCATGTTTTAGTTTGAAAAATAAACATAATAAAGAATGCATAAAATTTTCGTGAAGTCTCAATTGTTTTAAACAAAATTGACCTATTTCACTATATCAAAGTTTTTCCCTCAAATATCCTGCTTTATCCGGTCACATCTTAGTATTGCAGAATATCAACAACCCCGTAAGTGCATTCGGAAAGTTTTCCATTCATATTTGGAAGGCTGGTGGATGGGTATACTCGAAGAAAATGTAATACTCATAATCCAGTAAACATTTAACCATAGTTTACTGGTCTGGTTAGGAGAAATGTGAACCCAAGTTTATTTGAAACACGAAAAGTATCACGACAATTTTGGTGGCGACAGCAACAATCAAACAATTATGTAAAGCTACTGAGGAGAAGAGTACATTGTATACGATTGTCTTCATTCTGCCGTTATATCTTTGCTCGTGACATACTCCCTTGGAGGGACAATCACGTTACCGAATCACAATGTCGCCAGATGAAGCTGTTTCGCATGTCTTGCACCATAACCCCTTGGATTTTCACTTCAATAGTTTGGCATTTTAACTTCATATACATTGTCATGTTTCTTCATCACGTTTGTAGTCAGGATGGCGATTGTGTTTTACGGAAATTACCGTCGAACTGAACAATCAGTCGGTGCCTTCGTGTATTTGAAGTAGCGCGACTGTGAAGCGTTTTGGAAATCCTGTTTCAGCACACCGAACGAAATGAAACAGAAGGTTAACATGGCAGCACTACTAAGCACGATCTCACTGTTTTCCAACCTAAAGGTGTAAAGCTCCACTCTCGCTTAGACAAAATGAAATTAACAATTAGATAATGCATTTTTAGATCTTAGTCAGTTCCAATTTTTGGACATTTTGTTGCTATTTCTCCTCCTCCTGCTTTAGCTTATATTGGTTCAGTACACCTTGTTTGGGCTCCGACTATTGTGCACGCACGTTCCAGCCTTGCGTCACGTTGGTACGTATCACGCTAGTAGAGCAGGTGTCAGCAGAGCGTTGATTCTTCTGCTTCTTCAAAGACTTCTTACATCAACCATGGCACATGCAAAATGTAGAAAAGGGGATGACAGCAGTGACAAGTCGTTTAAGGTACCCCCACCCCCCTCCGCCGTGTGCGTCACAGATTCCGTCCCCTTCCCCCATAGATCCGGTACTATTAGTACAAGTGAGGGTTCACTGTTTTGTTTTCAAAGTACCGCAATAACTTGCTTGATTGAATAAGCTACCTAGTTTGGCAGTTCTGACCGTGAAAGTAATCACGACGATACGAGGAAAGGTGTGCATGCCTGCATACAATGATTCGACGTGTACTTTGACGTGTTTCACTCCA